TCGGCCCCCCTAGTAGCTGGGAATACAGAAGTGTCTCACCGTGCCCAGTCAGTGGCCACGCCCTTGCTATGGGTTCTGGCTTTTCCAGTTGAGGAGGGCATGGGAAAAGAGGAAGCAGCTGCTCCCAGGCGCCTCGTCCCGAGCCCCTTTACTCCTCTGATCTTGTGGGCAAGCTGTTGAGGAAACGCTTGGCATTCTGGAATTCAATTGGGAAGAATATCTTATTTATAAAAACATAATACTCATACTTCTGTAGAAAAAGAGGCTTTTAAAACAGAAGTATATGACTCAATAGGAAACATAGCTTGGTAAAATATGTAGGGCCAGCATCACAACATGTGATACATTCTAGAATGTTCTTGTGGGGAAATACATATGAAATTATTACTTTATTGCTCACATAGTAAAAGAGCATTATAAATAAAACTTGGATTAGAAAGCATTCATGATAGAGACACTATTTCTTTCTCCAACGAGCAATCACTTAATATCTTTATTGCCACGCTTTAAAATGAGTTAATGATATTTTGAACCCTGTGCCCCAGGCACTGTCTGGCAAAAATGGTACCAGTGGAGCCAGGTGTGGTGGGGACTACCTGTAATTCTAGCTACCTAGGAGGCTGAGGCAGGAGAATCGCTAGATACCAAGAGTTCAAGGGCAGTTGAGGCAAGATAGCAGGGCCCTGTCTCAAAAAAAAAAAAAAAAAAAAAAAAAGTTGCTATGAAAAAGTAACTTAAGCTTTTGAAGCTAAGTGACAGAAAATTATTACATTCTATCAATGTTTAATTTTCTTTTTCTTTTGTAGTAGTGGAGATTGAAGACAACTCACATATACTAGGCAAACATTTCATTTATTTATTTATATTAATTTTATTAAGAAACAAATAGCAATGAGACAGTTCAAAACAGGTTAGTAGGACAGTTACAATAATTAGCACATTGCATATTGTTATCTTTGTAGTAGTTATTCATAGTACAAGATGCAGACATAGTATCTTGTCCAAAGATTATTAGTTATTAGTACAAATCTTTCCTTTCTTCTCATTGAATTAAGAGAAAGTAGCTGTATATCTATCCTACTTTGTACATACAGATATATATATATATATATATTTCACTACAAAATGGTCCTTTGTTTATATCCCCTTTTTTGTTTAGTTTTGTCAAAGAAGGGTATTCCATTGCCATTTAAATATTATAGATGTGTGAATTCAGCAAAATAATCCAATATAGTCCAGTAGTCCATAATAGTAGTGGGTTAGGCAAACATTTTATCACTGAGTGATATCTTCAATATTTTTGAACTTTGAAACAGGATTTTACTATGTTGCCCAGGCTAGCCTTGGACTTAGGATCCTCCTGCCTCAGCCTCCTGAGTGGCTGGGATTACAGATATGAACCCTGCGCTTGTCTCTCTCTCTTTCCCTTCCTGCCTTGCCCTCTCTCTTTTACTTTTTTTCTTTTCTTTTTTCTTTTTCTCTCTTTCTTAATAGATTTGAAATGAGGATGGTAAAATTCAATTATATTTAAAAATGTAAAAGCAAGATCGAGGCTGAGTGTGGTGGTGCACTCTTGTAGTACCAACGCTCAGAGGCCGAGGCAAGAGGATTGTCATGAATTTGAGGCCAGCCTGGACTATACTATGAGTCCAGGGCAGCCTGAATGGCATAGTGAGACCCTGTTTCAAAGAAAACAAACAAACAAACAAACAGACAAACAGAATAAAAAAAGAAAAAACAATTGAAATCACCAGCTGAGAAAAAGGAAATGACTTTAGCTGCCAGCCGTTTTCCTAAGAAGGGCGTTTTCACATGCGAGGAGCGCTGATGTTATACTCACGGAAGCCAAACAGAACAGGCCTCTCCTTTCTGGCATAGTTCCTCTAACTGAAATGCAAAGAATATAATTTAACAATAATGCACACCTAGATAAAACAGAAGCCTCGAATTTGACACAAACCTCATTTGCCATAAGAAGCTTTCCAGAGCCTTTTACTTATTTTTTTGTGGGGCAGGTTTTGAGAGAGGATCTCACAGTGTAGCCCAGGCTGGCCTCCAACTCGCGGTGATCTCCCTGCCTCAGCCTTTCAGGCTCTGGGCTTCCAGCTGTGCGCCACCACACCTTGCCTCCATAGCCTGTTGGACTCCACCCAGCGACATAGACCTTACTAGGATTCAAATCTGGGCTCTTTCTTTTCTTTTCTAAGTATGACTTTAAGAAAGTTATCTGAGTACCTCTGCTCTTTCGCCTCTTTGTTAACTGACTTTAGGTTTGCTGTGGATATTAAATGAGATGATACAGGTAAGGTACTAAGCAGAATACTTAGTACAGAGACTAGGAGAAAGTTAATAAGTATTACTAATTTTAACACAGAGAAAGTTAATAAGTATTAGCCACTGTTACTCTGTTCCATGGATCATTAATTACTGGATGTCTACTATGTAGTAGGTTCTATACCAGAGCCAAAAAAAAAAAAAAAAACCTTTAGGGGTTTTCTCATCTGTCTTATCTACAAATAACATACTATAGATTTAGTTATGAAATCCTGGTCAATTCGGCTGTCTAGTGAGACTCACATTAATCTAGAAAAAAGGCTAGAAGAAGTCAGAGGACATTTTGAATTTGATATAAATGAAATAGCTAAGGTCTTGCCTTTAATGTTGTTGAGTTACTGTGGCAGGTTTTACAGCTTGTATTTCTGATGCATAATAAATCCACTGTGACACTCAAAGAGCCAAACATACCTGATTAGACTTTTCTGTTCTGTATTTATAAAAAGGTTAGTGGTGCATTTCCTTAGTGCAAATTACTTTTGGTCCTTACTAATCTTTATGAATACAATAATGTCTTGCAGCATAATGCATGTGATTAATTTGTCCCAGTCATTCACCTGCTTTTATTTAGGGAGACATCACAGAATTTGCTACCTCCTTCCTAATCAGTAATTTCAGCACATAGGGAACAACAATATAGAGGCAGTTGTACTTTATTTTATTTATTTTATTGTGTGTGTTTAGTACAAGGTCTACAGGGTCTCACTATGTAGATCAGATTTGTAGTGATCCTCCTGTTTTTAGCTTCCCAAGTGCTGGGATTTCAGACATGCATCACCATGCCCAGTCTCAATTGCTTTCTCAGCGCACCCCGGGTATGGAGCTGGCACAGCATGCCGGGGATGGAACCTCCTGTCCCTGCATAGGGGCATTTGTACTTTAGTTCTGTGGGGAAAGGTGAGAGACACAAGTATAGCGGCAATGTGTTCTGTTGCATAAATTTATCAAGGAAATGGTGCAGGAACAGTTTCATCAGCAGGCTTTGTGAGGATGTGAGCTGTGGTGTTTGGTCTGACAGTGGCAGTGGGTGGATATATCCTTGGGGCATTGAAGTAGCTTCTCTCAGTACAGTGGGAGGCTCAAGCAGGAAGAGCATTGGTTTGAGCCCAGCAGTAACTTGGTGATTTAGTGAGACCCTATTGCAAACAAAACAAAATAAACAAAAACAAACCACAAAAAGGCTGGGACTGTATTTGGGTTTAAATGTCCTGGGTTTAATTCCCAGTACTGGAATTAAAAAAAAATTTTTTTTCAAGTGAGTAGGAGCTGATGCTTTGGTCTAAGTGAGTGTAGTTTTCTTGAAGTCCCCACCTCCAGTGCCCCACAGTCCTGGGAATAGGCCAGGGCCTTCACACTGAGCTACAGACCCCTAGCCTGTTGCCATATTTTTTATTTTGATAGTCTCACTGAGTCATTGAACTGCCCAGACTGGACTCAGATTTGTGGTCATCTTGCTTCAGCCTCCCAGAGTGCTGGGATTATAGACACGCACCGCCACATCTAGCTGGCTTTAGCTCTGGTTTGACTGGCCTACTTTTGGAGATTCTGGAGTAATAAGAAGCTACAGAAATATACATTTTACATATATCTTCCTAGGGTGCTTTGACAGATATTGAATATTTGGACACTAACTCTTTTGATGTCTCCTTCACTGGCACAATTTGCAGTTAAGAACCTGAATATACAATTCAGTTATCCAATACCTTCCACAATGCAAATAACGAGGCAACTGTTCTTAAAACTTTTAATGCTAGAGGAGCGAAATGAATAGGCCCCTTTTTAACAAGTCTAACTCTATGCATTTACTAAGATAGGAACAAGAACATACCAGTTGGAGGTAACTTAGGCAAGCTCACTCTGCCCATACCCAGTTACAGAAGGTTGCTTAAGGGCATGAAAACAATTCTGTACACCCTTGTGCTCAGCACTCCTTTGTTGCCTACCCCTTCCATGAGCCCTTCCTTTTAGTCATTTAAACTCTTCTCAAAGCATCTGACCAGGGCCACCCCAGGCACAAGTCACTTACGACTGCACCAAGGGACAAAAAGTGCCTGCCATAATCCCGGCACCCGGACTCAGGCTTGGTTCTTAGCAGAAAGGGACTCAGAATTAATGAAGCCCAGCGTGGGGTTATCCGGGACTGGACTTGGACCTTCCTGGTAAAACATAAAAACAATAAGCATTGCTCTTTCCCCTTCTCCAAAAAAAAAAAAAACCTCTGAGGCGAGGTTGCTGTTGCCGGCTATGCCGGCCTTAGAATCTGCCAGGAACACGAGACAGCTGGGTTCTCGAGGTACCTGCCGTGCTTGGATCCCCGAGGTTCCTGCGGTCCCAGTCGGGGCGAAGTTCCCCGGCGACAGTCACCTGCGCTGCTGGCGCGGGGGCGTGGCCACGGACGAGCGGGGCGTGGCCTGGGCGTGGCCTTGGCGCGTGGGCGGAGCCGGCCCGGGCCCGCCCCGCAGGAGGAGCCGCTGGCTGGCAGAGCTCCGGCGTCTCTGTGACAGGCGCCCTGCTCCACCGCCGCCGCGCCACCGCCGCCTTTTCTTCCTCGTCCCGGGCCGTCCGCGCCACTGCTCGGAGTCGGCGCCGCGCCCATCCAGCCCGGGCCGCGCGCCCCCGCTCGCTGCGCTCCGCTCCCCGCCGCCCTCAGCGCGGGCAGCGTTCGCGCGGCCACAGCGCCTTCGCGTCGCCTGAGTCCGCTCGGCCCTCGGCCCCGCTCGGGTCCCCGCTCAGCGGCCGTCTCACTGCCCACCCCGCGTTCCCCCGACCCCCGCCGCCTGGCCCCGCCTGGCCCTGGGCTTCCCTCCCTGGGGTCTCGCCCGCGCCTTCCTGCAGCCCTCGGAGGAGCGGGTCCACCGCGGGTCACCATGCCCAGCAAAACCAAGTACAACCTTGTGGACGATGGGCACGACCTGCGGATCCCTTTGCACAACGAGGACGCCTTCCAGCACGGGATCTGCTTCGAAGCCAAGGTGAGGAGGGGGCTGAGGGAGGCACTGCCCGGGAGGGGCATGGCTGGGTGGATTCCACGCACAGCACCCGGGCACAGAGAGGTGGGTTAGGCCAACTGGGGGCCTTTCTTTTACGGAGGGCGACTCCCCCCTCTTAGGATACTATTCCCAGGACAGAGTCCTGCTCAGAACTGCTAAAGAGCACCTGGAAAGTTTGAGAGGCGTTGCTTCACCCCCCTCCTCCCACCTGCAGACTTCCCAACCTTCCCTGCCCAGGACTGGATTGAGTTACTTGCCCAGCCCTCCTTCCCGGGAGGAGAAGCCCGTGAATGAGCAAAGCCTGGACACCTGGTTCAGGACCGGTTGAAGGAAGCCCTGGTGTTATTTACCTGCTGCGTTCCCCTGGGAGAGGTGCTTTCAGGAAGGTCTTTCAAAAGGGGGAATGCCTGCTTCCTACTGAGGAAAGGAATAGTTTTGTTTTTGTTTGTTTTGAAAATTCCAGGTAACCAGGTCCAGGTGTTAAAGTCACTTCCTAAATGTCTGATTTGCAGCCAGCCCTTTGCAAGGTCCAGTCCTTGATGAGGGGGTGGGATGATGTGCAACCGGGGGTGAAAGCTGCATGTTTGTTAGCTTTGTGGGGCAATGTTAAGTTTCAGTATTTGCGGCTGAAACATTTATCTGGAGGCCGAAGAAAGCCCTAGGGCCATCCTTGCAGGCAGGACGGGGTGGTGTCTACCCGCTCATCAGACTCGGTTAAGGCTGGTGGTGCCCTGCTTTGCAGGGTTTCCGATTTCTGAAATTTCAGTGGAGGTTCCTACTGCCCACCATGGGAAGGTGCTTTCTGGTGGAAAAGGGCTTTGCTTTTTGCCTTTTGCCACTTGACCTCCCGGGTGACTTAAACACATAGGGATGCTTGGCCCCTATCATGTAACTGTCATGAAAAAAACAAAACAAAACAAAACAAAACCAAGACCAAAAAACAATTGTACTCTCCATCCCCACGCCATTGGTTGAATCTTGCTGGTTTTGAAAACATGGTACTTTTAATGTGGAGACAGTTTTACTTTGTACCCCCAATTCTCTTTCAGGACTGTGTCCGTGCAGGGGTTAGTGTCATGCAGGATTATTCCAGCAGGTATCTTGTTCCTTCAGATCACACGTTATTCAAGTGTCTGATAGGTGTCCAGGGTGGTCAGCTCTCCTTAGATTTGTTTTCCTTCTCGTGGAGATGTATGAGTTAGGGGGTCTTAATTTCTTAATACTTTTCCTGTAATAACTTTTCCCCAACCCTATTTTGCTAGAACCAGAGGAGGCACACTACCCGCCTCAGACTCAGACCTTGCTGTGGAATGCAGAGCTGCGTTGCTGGACTCGGCAGGGACCAGGCTGGGGCTGCAGCCAAGATCTTATCTCACTTTTTCTCAGCCCTCAGAATAGATCTGGTTGGTCTAAGATGGGATGTTTGCATTCATTTTTTATCTAGGTTTGCTGCTTTGGTGAGTGGAGTTTTATGTTCAAGTACAAGTTTTCATCATGGTCATGCTTTTAGGACGATATACATAGAGTGGGAAGTTGACATTTGTGTTGTTCGGTTCACCAATCTGCTGATTTATAACAGTGAGGGAAAGAAGGGACATTAAAGTGTCTCTGAATCTTTTAAAAAATTTTTCCTCATAGTCCTCTGCATTTTGTCTCCAGTAGGTGTCAAAACCTAGTAGATGTAAGAACCATCAGGTAAGGACATTAAAATTCCAGTTCACACCTAGCTCCAGTTCTAATTCACTACCTCTAGGGAGAGTCCAGGAACGTGTACCTTTTTCTTTTTGTTTTACTCCCAACCTCCCCACCTGCTGGAGATCGAACACGGGTCTTGCATGTGTTAGGCAAGTGCTGTACCACTGAGGTCACAACCCTAGCCCTTTGTACTTTTTATTTTGAACCAGGGCCTTATTAAATTAGTTTTAAATTTGTGATCCTCTTGCCTCAGCTTCCTGAAGCTGAGGAGTGGATTACAGGTGTGTGTCACCATGCCAGGCAAGAGTCTGTACCCTGGACAAATGTTACAGGGAATTTAATGCAGTTGATTGTAGCTAGGCTGAGAAATATTGGGCCTGACGCTTGCCTTGAACTTGCTGCATCCTATTCTCATTTTCCCTTTACCAAATACGCAGTTTCTTTTCTAAGCAAGTGTCTGGGGGCTGTGGGATGCAGTTCCTATAGTAACTTCCCTGTATTCACAGACCGTGGTGGTCAAGAAGGAGGAGCAGCCACTGTTGATCTAAGCTGTATTCCAGTATAGATCTGACACCTAGGATATCAGGGATTTTGCTTCAAGAAGGGCAAGGTAGAGAAGAAAAGGAGAGGGCACAGATAAGGGCAGGGTGGCACTTTATTGGGCAAAGGCTGACTTAGAGGACTAGGGCCTAATTCTCAGCTGTTTGAAATTCTGGTGGGTATTGGCACCTTCAAGTGCCATGTCTGCCAAGACCTGAGTTGAGGTGAAAGCTGGATCTTTCCTGTCTTGTGTGCACCTTGCAAGTACAGTGTCTGGCTGGTTTCCACATCCCTATAAAACAGTGTTTGTGGGAATGCATAGTTACTGGGGTTTCAGAGTTAAGTCCTCACCACACCTCTGTGCTTGTTTTGGGAAAGCACAGGCTGTAAAATGCAAACATATTGTTGCCTTGTCAGGTACCTTTGGAAAATGAGCCCAAGACTTCCTCTTCCAAGGTTGGTGGTTTTTCAGAATCAACACTGCATGAAGTTTTTCTTTGGAGGTGTGCCTCCCATGTTCAGGGTTTTGCAAAGACTGAAGGAGGATTTAGGGTTAGGGTTGAAGGGCAGAAGTTCTATGCATTTCCAATCATGATCTGCATGCCTTTGTTTCCAGCAGTCTGGGAGGCTGAGGTAGGAGATTCCAAGTTTTAAGTTCAGCCTGGGCGGCTTAGCAAGTTAGTGAGACCCTGTCTCTAAATAAGTAAGAAAGGGCTGGGTATGTAAGTCAGTGCAAAGGCCCTAGGTTCAATCTCCAGTATAAAAAGAATCGTGTAATAATAAGCAAAATCCTAGATGTTTTTCATGTGCAGTACTTTATTTAATTCTCACTTCCTTACAATGTGAGTTTCCTTATGTCTATTTATAAAAGAGGGCATAAGCTAGAGAGGTTGTTACCTGCTCTGCAGCTCCCACCTGTGTGTGACAAAGCTGGGACTTAACCCTGGAGCTTTGGCTTCAGACTCCTAAGTCCGGTGCTTGCTTACTCAATATTCTTAATGGAGTATTCATAGTCACTGTCTTGGGAAGTGTCTGATCTGCAGCTCTCTGGTAGTTATCCTACCTATGGCAATGTAGGAAAGCATTCAGATGCTTAATGCTGGATTTCCCCTTGGGCTTAAGCTGCTGCCTACATCCTGTGGTACCTGGCCCACAGGCTGGCACTGTCTCTGGACTGGAGGTCCATGCGTGTGGGCCCTCAGAACCTGCCTTCTGGGTTGCCAAAATTATTACCTGGCTGTCTTTACTTGCTTGGTGAGAAAGAGGCTTCCACTGATTGTGGCACAAAGGCTAGTATTAATAATACAGTTATAGCTTATGTTCATAGATGATTACTGATTTGTATGGAACTCTGACCAGGACTTTCTCTCATGGAAACAGGAACATTGCTTTTATCTTCATTTTTCAGATTAGAAAATTGGGGAGCAGAGCGATTAGCTTTCCCAGAGTCACGGAAGTGATGGGTATCATATCACCAAAATATTTGTTGAGCATTTACTATGTGCCTTGCATTATTCTTGCTGCCTCATCTAATCTGTACACTCCAGGGCTTTGATCCCTGGTCTGTGGCTCTTTTACCTGCTCCTGAAGTGGTTACCTTGATTCTGGACCTCTCTGTAGTCCTGGGCTCCTCACTGGCACAGCATGCGTGGCTCAGACTGTCGGAGTGGGAAGCATGTCACCCCATCTAGTGAAACCTTTTCCTTATTCAGATGAGGAAATTGAGGCCCAGCAGGAAGTCACTGGCAATACGGTCAAATAGCTGTATAAAACCAGCACATACCTGGTTTCCTAGCTTCCAGTTGGCTTCAGTTATCTATCACTGCATAAAAAACTACCTCAAGACTCAGCGGCTTGCAGTGATCACTGTTTAGTTTTCTTATGATTTGTGGGTCAGGAATTCAAGCAGGGCTTCACTGGGTAGTTCTGCAGCTTGAAGTAATGATTCCTTTGGCTGCATTCATCTGCCTCTGGACTGGAAGGTCCTAGAAGACTTCACTTGTGCAGCTGGTGCTTTCTGGTCCTCTTCGTGGCTTCTGTCTCCAAGGACTAGCTTGGATTTGCTCCCAGCATGGGGCCATCTCTGTGTGGTAGCTGGCTTTCTAAGCAGGAAGGAGGAGGCTGGACAGACCTGGCTTTCTGAGTTTTACAGAATCACACTGGTTGGATTCTGTTGATCAAAACAGGTTAAAGGGATGAGATGCAAATTGCAATTGATGAGGGAGTGTGAAGGTCATGTCATGCAGCAGCACAAGAGATGCAAGTGTTAGTAAAGCCGTTGGAATCGTACAGTCTACCTCTAAGCTTTACCTTCTTCCCTCTCAGTGTATATGCTCTCCAATGACAGGGAACACTCTCTGAGGACAGTGTCTCGTGCTTCTTGTCTCTCTCCTCCTGTGGATCCATGATCCAGGCATGGACATAGTGGGTAACACAATTATTTGTCAAGTGGAAGAAATGACCAGTTGTAGAGAGCTTGAAAGCAGTAAATGTATTGTAATATTGCTGAGCAATTTTGAGGTTTCAGAGAGCTTGGACTGATGGGAACTGAGTGTTCTGGCTGGGTTTCCCTTCTTGCCAAATGGAGGCAAATGGCTTCACTGGTTGATGGTGGCTGCTTCTCGTGTGCTGGCATGAGGGCTTGTAGGTAAGGGCACTATACATTCATTCACCATAAATGGGGTCTTCCTGGCTCTTCTTAGCATCAGGGCCTGGTAACCACCTCTCAGAACCTGCTCAACTCTGTG